AGTGGTACGAAAACCATTGTTTTAAACTGTTCCTACGAATACGAGTTGAGAGTAAATTGATGTGGCGGCTTCATATTACATATGTATCGTCATTTTTGTAGAAATACCTCAAGCTTATTCTAGTCGGGACTTTATCTTTTGTGTGCTGTTCAGATTTTCATTAATTGCACCCCATAAATGTGTACTACTGAACGCGTTATATCCATTTTCCCCCACGCTTATTTGCTTCCTACTAGTAGATACTTAATCTTCTTGATATTCAACTTGAGCCCCATCTTTCTACTTTTGTCTTTGACGCAATTTAAAAGTTATTGCAAGTATTTTACTATGTTCACTAGAGTGTTAAGTTTCAACTGCGTATCAAATATTATTTATAATATTTATAAGTGTGTCGTTATATGTAGTACATTGTAATATTTGCTAGAAGATTTATTCGTATTACAAGTTGTGCTTTGTGGTTTTTACAAATTGGCTCTTTTTCGTCTATTGTCTATGACAGCCCATATTGCTTAATTTGATTATAGGTCTATGATCTGCTGTGTACAGCTGTAGTGGCGCTGATTTGTTAAACTTTTTGATACTTTAGACTTGATTTAAATTTAGTTATTTATTTTGGTCAACTCAGTAACTTAGGGTCTAATAAAAAAACTTTGTCTTCAACTAAAAGCAAAATAATCATATGGACCTAAAGTGTTTTATTGTCATATAACTATTTTTCTGTTTAAACCTCCAAACATTTGTCTTTTTTTGTGGCGTTGGCTTAGTCAATTAGCCAGACAAAAATATTTGTCACAAAATTAGCTCTAATTCATTGCTTTGTTAGCATCTACAAACCACAGCTACCTCTCAAAGGCTCTTATTCAAATGTGACTCAGATTAAAGAAAATAAGGAACTCATTCAGTGCCCGAATACTATATGCAACGGAGTAGGACATATTTCTGGTAACTACGCCACCCATAGAAGGCAAGCAAGTGTATTATATTTAGTATTTAAGAAACTAATAATGTTTAATGTAAAATTTAATTATGGTATTGCTATGGCTTTAAATCTACAGCCACGTTTAAAAATCATTATCGATATAATCCATAAAACAAATTAAGATCCCTTCATAAAATGTTTGTTTTTGATATTTTTGTTGTATTATAGTTGTTAATATTTTATCAAATATATAGGGTGTTTTATTTAAACATTATAAATAAAATTTAATTCATATTTTACTAGCCCATGATATTTTTTTATAATATTGTGCAGAATGTAAAAAAAAAATTTATATTCCGTTTTTAAATATTTTAATATAGTATAGGCAACAACTTCCTTCTGGACTAACATTATATGTTTGTTACATTATGTGTATGGCAGGTTTTTATTTTTATATTGATGAAAATCAAGATGATGTCCAACTTTTTTCATCATACATATTTTTAAATTTTTTGTCCTCCTCTCGTATACTGCTGGAACATCCAAATTTCTTATAGATGGTCAATCTCACCACCAAAACTGAGTGCTATTGGCATGTGGTACCGTTCTTTTTTAGTTCCAGCTTTTAATATGTTAAAAAAATGGTGTTTATGTGAATTTGGCGCCCAACGTGTGGCATTATATTTATATACATATTTGTTGATACATATAGCTTGAAGTTTTCCATATTGGTCTCAGAATACTACCCCGTGATATTCTTGCTTCGTTTAGCCGTAGTTATGAACATTTGCTTTCTTGTTTGACTCTAAAAACTTCTGTTCTTAATGTTTGTTTGTAGTATAAGCTAGACGTATTGCGTGGTTAGGTATCTTTTTATTACTAGTACAAGCCACTTCAAATGGTTTTGCTATTTCAGTGAGCATATTAGAGAAACCCTTCTATAATATTTATTAAGCGATGTACTTGAATGTTTATTGCAAAATCCAAATTGGAGAGATATAATTATTTTTTTTTTTTAGATGAAGTATTTTCTTCGGCAGGTTGAAGGTATTTGGTAGCAATGATATTGGTTTGGATGCTTCTACTCTATTTATCGGTTTTCCAGGTTTGGGGATCATGATAAGTACAGCTATTTTCCACGTTATCGGTACATCTTGTACCTATATCCTGTATTTATAAGATTTATGACTTTTTCGATGGCTTTCCTAAGTAGTTACTGTGGTAATTTTCCTATTATTAAGGTAAATGACTAGGTCTTTTTGAGATTGATAGTGTTTTTAATTACTTAGGATCCTTCTTTGGAAGTGTTATTTATTTGGTGGAAGTTAGTGGAAGCTTTATTATTCATTGATCAGTACTACTAACTTTGTGTTCGTCGTTTTCGATTTGATCATTATCTTCCATATCCTAATTTTGAAAAATATTCTCTTTGTGTAAAGCGAACAGATTTGGTTTCTATTTTTTTGTCACTTGCCCATATTTCAGCTACTGTTCGAATTTTCGTGATTGGTTAAGTTGGTCTGTTTATTCTTTTTATAAATTTCAATCTATTAATATTTGTAATATGTTTGTTAGCGAATTGGGGTTATTCCCTACTACTTGTTGTGGTTTTCAACGGAATAATTGTGCATATGTTAATATTTAGTGCTTTTAAGCGCTCTTAATTGGTTTTGTGTACGGTCTTCATTATAAGCTATCTTAGTTTGTGGAATGGTTGTAGGTTTCTGTTTGTTTCTTAACTTTTAAAAAGTCAGTATAGCAGTAGTGCAACTTCTGTAATTAGTTGCGTAGGCCCCGTCACAGTGTATACATTTAGGTTCTTTGTTTCAGGACTTTCTCCAATCTTTTTGGAGTATGTCAGTACTCTTGATATCATTTAAAATAGAATCAATCAAAATCAGTTTCGTATTTCGAAGATCTCCTAATAATACATGGTCGTATAAATAAAAAACTGGAAGAAAGAATAGATGATAGCTGGGTTTAGAAACGGACCTGGAACCAGAGAAGCGTTATTTGCTTTTAATGTGTTAGCTCAAAGATGTATGGATATAAATGTTGATGTGCATGTTTGTTACGTTGATTTTAAAAAAGCTTTTGATAAAGTAAGACATAAAAAATTAGTTCAAATTCTAAAGACAAAAAACATAGAACATAGGGACTTACGAATAATAACAAACCTCTATTGGAATCAAAGAGCACAAATCGTAATATATAACGAACCCAGTCCAGAAATTGAAATCAGGAGATTAGTTAGGCAGGGATATATTATGTCCCCATTACTATTTAATGTATGTAGCGAAGTCATTTTTGAAGAAGCATTACTATCTCAAAGTGAAGGAATACTAATTAATGGAAGATCTATTAACACCATAAGATATGCAGATGACACCGGAATTATGGCAAGCTGTGCTGAACAACTCCAATTACTGCTAAACAAAACAAACAATTTCTGTGAAAAATATGGACTAAAAATGAATATAAAAAAGACCAAATACATGATAACAAAGAAAACAAATATACCAACAAACATATATTTGGAAAATATATCATACCGATAGAAAGGATTGATAAATACAAATACCTAAGAACCTGGATTTTAGACAATAATGATCAAACAACCGAAATAAGAGTCAGGATAGAAATAGTAGGAAATGTGTTTGTAAAAATGAAAACAATTCTCTGCAACAAAGATCTTAGATTAGAACTGGGAGTAAGAGCACTAAGATGCTACATGTTTTCGATACTGCAATATGGACTTGAAAGCTGGACATTGAAACAAGAACACATAAATAAGTTACAGTCCTTTAAAATGTGGTGTTACAGGAGTATGCTTAGAATACCATGGACACAGAAGAAAACTAACACGGAAGTATTGCGAGAAATGGGCAAAGAATGCGAAATAATAAACACAATAAAAATAAGAAAGTTACAATATCTGGGACACGTAATGAGGGTATAGCGATATGAACTGCTAAGGCTGATAATACAGGGAAAGATAAGAGGAGGAAAGAGTATAGGAAGAAGGAGAGCGTCGTGGTTGAAAAATTTAAGGGACTGGTTTAAATGCAGTTCTATAGTTCTATATATTCTTCAGAGCAGCAGTAGATAAAGTAAAGATATTAATGATACTTGTCCAACCTCCGATTGGGAGATGGCACTTAAAGAAGAAGAATAAGATCTCCTAGTCAACTTTATGTGTATGATTTCTTTAATTTCATATTTTTTATAAAGTGCAAAAAGTCAGGGCGGGGATTTATCCTTTCCGTTTGGTACAAAAAGAAATATCCCAATAAATCAATTGTTCTAAAAATTTACATGAAAAAGACAATTAAATTATTAAGAATATACAGTTAGACGAACCTTGTCATGTTACTTTTTTTTTATTATTGAGTTATTGCCTCGACAACTAAGATCATTGGCATGGTACAGTCAGGTACCTAGTGTAGTGTGTGTGTGTGTGTGTGTGTGTGTGTGTGTGTGTGTGTGTGTGTGTGTGTGTGTGTGTGTGTGTGTGTAGAGTAATTGTCTTGATACTTATCAAAGTCGACGTCATTGTCTATGCTAAGAGACGCTAATTGTATTCGAACGTCTGCCGTCCCTCCGGTGAGTACCGATCGCACAAGGATAGAAATTATTTTCATTTATTAATTTTTAATAAACGAAAATTTCTCCACCCAGATGAGATTCGAACTCACGACATTTAGGTTTAAAGGTAGGCGCTCTTACCACTGAGCCAAAGAGGGGGTTCATGTTACTTTAAAAATATATACTGTTATTTTTTAGAGAAGGATACGTTAAAATTAATATTTAACGTTAACAAAATTCTGTATTTATGAAAATCTATATACATGACAAACATTATTTACGTGCAAACATTTACTTTTTTAATTATTAGATTTTTAAACTTGGCTGTAAAATATAACTACTAACAAATGCTAAAAGTTTTGAATGTGTGTATCGCTCTCAATCTTATTTGAATTAAAACTGGTGTTGGTGTTAGGTAAAACCAAGTGACATTCATAACACGAATTCGAACCGTTTGTCTTGTAATAATCAAAATGACACCTATTATTACTTTTAGTCTGTCAGGATGTCCACGAGCAGATCGTTCACAAATTCAACCCCATTCCCAAGAACTGAAATGCCCAACGCCGGGATGTGACGGTTCAGGTCACGTTACTGGTAATTATAGTTCCCACAGAAGTTTATCTGGATGTCCTAGAGCTAACAAACCAAAGAGCAAGCCTAGAGATGGCCAGGACTCGGAACCGCTGAGGTAATTTTTATACTCAGTTTACAATAATTTTATTTTTTCTTTCTCTTATAGATGAGTAGACATTTTAGAAAATTGAAACATGTTTAGTAATACTACTGCTTTAGTTTTTGTTAAAAACAAATTTTTGTACTATGGTTTGGTTATACATTTTACTATATTTCCAATGTCATTTAACTAAATCTATTATTACTTATTTCCTGTTTCAGTATGTTATTATCGATATCAATTTTTGATATAACCATTATACTGATATTTTCATGTCATGTTGAATATGTTTAATGATTATACTGTTATATAAGCTTTTGTTGATTATCTTCGTTATCTACTGAAAGAAAAACATCAACTTCAGAGTTGACAACTGAAGGTCCACGGGTAAGAACGATCAGACTCCATTTTTGGTCGGAATTTAGATATTGACGTCATATTTTAGCTTTTCTTGGAAAGAACCCAAGCATGGTTTCGTTTGTACAATATCGATCACCGTACAGAAGATAATAAAGGGGAAAGATATAAGCCAACGGAGAAGAACGATCAGGTTCCTCGAGCTGACGGCTAATAACGATCAGATTCCGACGACCCTGTAACTAAACGTAGATTGTCCTTTGCATCTATAGCATCTTAGCGTCAGTTCTATTCTGTAATCGCTAAACGAACTGCTGCTGTTTTGCAGTTTTCATTAGTTTATTTTTGAGAAAATTCATAATGTAAAGTGATTAGTGATAGTGATATATCTAATGGAAATAATAAGCCAGGAAATGTCAAAAAGCGGAGAAAACTGACAAAATGAGTGAAGTAATGAAAAAATTACGTATCAACACTTACGAGGTCGTGGAAAACTGTAAGTGCATTCGTTACAACTGTTTTCAAGTCATCCCTTCGAATGAAAGACAACGATTAATTTCTCATTTTAATGAGTTAGGGGACTATAATGTTCAAAACAAATATTTAACAGGTCTTGTCACGGTTATACCTGTTGGTAGATTGAGAAGCCAAAACCGTGAAGCTGAAGCAAGTTTTAATCAACCTTCTTATAGCTATAGAGTTCGGGTAAATGTGAGTGGCTCGTTACCAGATACTGATGTTTGCTATAAAGCATTTTTGTCTTTACACATTTTTCCCATCTTTATGTGCTAAAATGCCCTACGGCGATTAGGCCTATCAGGATTTTAAAAATAGAAAAAAACCACCCACGGTTTGTGTTACACAATGACCATTATTTTGGCCTATATCTTAGTGATAGTTCCCTAAAAAAATCAGGCACGTAAAAGAAAACTGAAACCTGTTCCACTAAAGAAGCTATATAATGAACTTCTGCCTATTAAGACTGCTCATCATCCTCATCCAGCCTCTATTTATCACGTCCACTGCTGGAAATAGGCCTCCCTTAAACTCCTCCATTCCTCACGATTTTGTGCTCTTTGTTGCCAATTTTTAGTGATACGCCTGATGTCGTCGGCCCAACGTGTAGGTGGTCTTCCTCTACTGCGTTTGTCTGCTCTTGGCCTCCAATTTGTAATTTTGCTCGTCCATCGTGAATCGTGCATTCTCGCTACATGGCCTGTCCAGTTCCATTTTAGTTCCGCTATGCGTTCCACAACATCAGTAATACTCGTCCTTCTTCGCAGATCTTCGTTTCTTATTCGGTCCCTCAACGTCACTCCCAGCATAGACCGTTCCATTCGTTAAAGTCATAGTTTCCGCCCCATAGGTCATGACCGGTAATACGCATTGGTCAAACACTTTTCTTTTGAGGCTGATTGGTATGTTGGCCCTAAGTGTGTCTCGCAGTTTTCCAAAGGCTGCCCATGTTAAAGTAATTCGTCTTTGGATCTCACATGTTTGGTTATCCCTGCTGATTCTTATTTCATGACCCAAATACGTATATTTCTCCACCAGTTCTACCACTTTGTCTTGAATAGTCAAATGGTTATTGGGGACCAAATTTGTCATAAACTTAGTTTTGGTCAAGTTTATTCTCAGGCCCACCTTCGAACATTCAAAATCTAAATTAAGACTGCTAAGTTGCATGATTTATTGCCCCTAACCCAATTCCTGACAAATCCTGAAGCGCATTTCTTTTACCAAGGACTAGTTTCCGATGTCGGTACGAATGAGGGTAGTGATGTGGAATTTGCCAAAGATCCACCAATCGACATTTAACGCGAAAAATAGATCAGAGTCTAGCTCCTTAATTAAAAATTTGAAGATTTCAAGTACATATATAATTAGCAAACTATTTTTTTTTTTTTTTCATTTTTGTATTAAAAAGTCTTATAGTAATAAACTGATAACTTAAACTTAAATACTTCGTATTTAATTTTCCTGAACCAAAATAAACGACTTAAAACTTTTAAATTCGATTTGTACAAAATGAACAAAATGTGAGTCTGATCGTTCTTTCCCGTGGCAATTCAACTGCATAACTCTCTTCTCATACATTTTCTAACTCTGTTTATTATTTCATGTACTAGATTGATACGAAAAAGGGAAATTTGCTGTAATTATATACTCGTATAAATAAGAACGTGACATTTTGGTACCAATTTGATCATTTCGAAATCCAACCCTAGGTCTTAATTAATACCATCGCATCTTTATTAAAATTTCATTTTTCTTCCAATATTTTTTTCAGTATCTCTCACTTAATATTGCACTCTACACCTTTTACAAAATTGGCTATATCCTATTAAACTTTAAATCCACCTCTGTGTATAACCTGAATAAAACATAACGAATTGGCAATATTCCAATTTATTTTTGTTATTTTATCAGTATTTATCTTAAAAACAATTTAGTATTCTGTGGTAAATTATTTTTAATATATAGTTAATGTCGATTGCTTGAAAATTTAGTTAAGTGATTTGTTTCATGCATACAGATGCCCGATACCGGGCTGTGATGGATCTGGCCATGCAACTGGAAAATTTTTATCACATAGAAGGTAAAAAACATTTGGGTATACATGTATTTGGGTATGACTTGGCTATTGATTGGGCCAAAATTATAAGCTATTGCAATATGCTTTATTAATTACTTTATCGTCATTTTAAAGAATTTAAATCGTTTTACTATGCTAATCTATTAAGAGCAAAATTCGACTCGATCTTCAACTTCGGAACTTCTAAAATTTAACCGTTGGTAGCGGTCATATTGTTAAAGCTACATTATGTCAAAGTAGCTGTCATTTATTCATTTAAATGTTTATATTTAATTCATTATGGATGGATATACCGTACAAAAATACATACAAGAATAAAATTGTTTTATCAAAATTATCAAAATAGGTATTCTTTGTGAGCAACCTTCCTCGCGGTTTGCCTATTTTACGGCCGCCAAAATTGTCTTACCTACAGGATTATTCTCAGGCGGTCGACAAATTTTAGTCTACTAATTTAGTAAACATTTAACCAACATCCGAACGTCGACGAAACGCAAGATTTGCGAAAACATAGCCGCTGTCCGTAAGAATATGCAGGAGAATAAGAAGCAATCGATTCCACGTCACACAAGAACTTGAACTTTCTGAGACCATAACTAGGTGAATTTAATATTGTAACTTGGGGCTACTCCCGTACAAACTTTAAGTTTTTGCTGAATGGGCTCCGGATTAGTTGAAAACTGTCCGTTATGTTCATTAAAAAATCGTCTTCAGCGATTAGGCACATTTTTATTTATTGGTACGTCAAAAACAGAATTGTTTAATTTGGAAAGATACCAATTCAGATAAGATCTAAGAGCGTCCAACGCTTTTCATAACAGTCACTGTTTGGTATAATTTTGGGCTAGCGGCATCATATGTCCATATTTCTTTTACAACAACGTTAGCCAGGCGATTGATTACCAACTTTTTTTGTCTCAAGTTGAATGATACAGAAACTTACGATATATGGTTTCAAAAGGATGGCGCTACATGCCACACATATTGGACATTTAGCATTAGCGATTTCAGGGAAAGGTTATATCACTTAGAGATGATGAGAACTGGCCACGGAGATCGTGCAATTTTACCGCATTAGACTCTTTTTCTGAGGTTTTCTTAAGTTATAAATCAATGCGAATCGGCCACAAACCAGAGCGGCTTTCAAGCCAACATAAGCAATGCCATCGATCAAATTCAGCCTGATCTATGGGCGATGAAAAATGGTATTCGTGCCACCGAGCGAAGCTGTAGCGGACATGTTATATTCGGTGCTATAACATATAAATAATAAGCAGCAGATACATAAAAACTTGTCAAAGTAAAACTTGTCAAACTTGTAATTTGTTGCAAATAAATAACCTCTTTTTTTTCATTGTATAAGATAAGAGTGCTACAATTAAACTTATTGTTCACTATAAAATTTAAAATGACTAGTATGGCAAAGAGCAATAAAATTTTAAGGTGTCAACTGTCCAATATCAAAGTGTGACAGAAACAAGCAAACAAGGTGTAGCAAGTTCCGAGACTGTTTCTATGACATGTTTATTTAGCAATTTTTTATGAGATTTTATTTTTTCTCTCAATATACTTTCCATTTACATCTCTACAATGCTTCATATGAACCTTTCACTGTCAGAAGCTGTGCTGCAGTTTATTTTCTGACAGGCTATTGATGGTCCTTTAATGACTGGTCGCCGATTCCTTTCAAGCAGGATTTAAATTTTGGGAACAGGTAAAAGTCGCAGGGTGCTACATCTGGCAAACAGGACGAATTCTCCATAACTGTGACCTAGATACAAATGGATGATTCAGAAGTTCTCTTTTAACATTCCGCTCCCCTTTTTGCAAATTTTTTCTCGTAGTCTTCCTAAAACCTCTAAATATGAATATGTCTTACCTTGTGGTACCTATTCCATGTAGGTATCTCGAAGAACATAATCAACATAGAACACAATTTGTATTTGGACTTACTCGTACTGGCTTTTTTACTCTTGGAGAGTTTGAAATCTTCCACTGCATAAATTGCCGCTTGTTTTTAGGAAAATTTTAAAAAAATCTATATTTCGTCACACGTTATGATCCTCAACAAGAAGTCAGAGTTCTTTCCGATGCATTCTAGAGTGTCAGAACAAATGCCTTCACAATGCATCTTCTGTTCCAGCGTTAGAAATCTGAACAGAGACTTAGTACGCATTTCCAATGTGTGTCACAGTTTCTTTATTATTATCAATATACTTATTAATGACTCTAATACTCAATCGACTCTCTTTTCGAACCTTTGGGTCCCTTTTTGACCATTTAAGTTATTTTTTAAAGTCACAGGCGCCCATCATCCTCATCATCCTGCCTCCTGTCCAAGAAACGGTCATACCATTCAAAAACTCTGCGACGGATTAACAACCGTCCTTAGTTGAGTTTCTGTGTCTTATCGACCTTCTAATAAGTAAACTAGTGAGAGGAATGGTTTTTCAGTCAAAAAATAAAACGATTCTATTATCTCGTTAAACTCAATATTTCACTAATGTTTATTAGCTCTATCAGCAATACACTAAAATTATTTATGTCAAGCGCCTTTCCCGAAAAAACAGTCAGTCAGGATATGTTGTAGTAAAAGGGACACATAATTATAAAATTTGATACATTCCTCTTATCTATGGAATTTATTTAATTTCTCATCTTTATTCTAGCGCGTCGGGATGCCCTATAGCAAACAGAAACAAAATGAGAGTTTTGGAAAGCGGTGGATCCGTTGAGCAACATAAAGCTGCCGTAGCTGCTGCAACGGCAATGAAATTTGAAGGTGTTAACTGCCCAACGCCGGGGTGTGACGGAACTGGACATATAAACGGTTCTTTTTTAACGCACCGGTCCCTCAGTGGATGTCCTGTAGCGGGTCAAACAGTGAAGAAGTCCAAATACCCGGAGGATATGCCTTTTTATACTAAGGGATATACAGGTGGGTAATGTTTTTTCAAGGGTATTTCTTATAAAGCATCTGCTACATTTTTAGAATATGCATATTTTAAAACAATTACCATGTACTTAGGCCCAGTATTCCATATAATATTAATGAAACTATTATTTTAGTTAGGTAACTATTCAGTTTCATATTTAAAGACACAAATAAAACAATAAATATATATGTATATAGAATGGTTAAGTGCTATATTTGTTCTGTACTTTTGTATAGAGTAGACATGTGGACACCAAAAATATCAAGTATGCATAGAATTAAAGCATTGGAAATGTAGTTTCATATACTGATGTTGAAGATACCTTGGACAGCAAGCAAAAATAATGAGAAAGTACTAAGGAGGGTCCACAAAGACAGAGAATTGCTAAAGACTGTTAAACACCGGAAAATGTCTTATCTGGGACATGTAGTTAGAAGCAATCGATATAGAATATTACAACTGATCCTTAAAGGCAAAATAGAAGGCCGTAGAGGTGTTAGACGAAAACAGGTTTCTTGGTTAAAAAATATTCGTTAATGAATTGAGATATCAAATGCAGGACAATTTTTCCATATGACAGAAGATCGAGAATCCTTCGCGATAGTGATCGCCAACGTCAGATAACTCTGATATGGCACGTGAAGAAGAATATATATATATATATATATATATATATATATATATATATATATATATATATATATATGTATATATATATATATATATACATATATATATATATATATATATATATATATATATATATTATATATATATATATATATATATATATATATATATATATACCTAGAACTAAGATTAATACTATTATAAAAATTAATATTAAACTCACCAGACTTTCGGGTTGAAACGCGTCGATTTCCGTTGGACCGAACTTTCGACATCCTCTCTGATGTCTTCTTCAGGGCTCCCAGACACTACTACACTGTTCACTATTCCTTTACTACTCACACAGTAAACAATTGCCAGTAGGTGAATTAATCACTGTCCATGATGTTCCATATTTGTTGATGCAACAATGTAAAATTAAAGTCAAAGTATTTTGAAGCTACAGTATACACTACACTACAGTATGAAATTGCAAATAACAGTTTTATTCTTTATTAATATACGGTATTTTGAATTTTGTGCACACTATATATGTTTTCCATCCATTCACCATCTTTACGGATGTCTTCTTGAGGTATTTCTTTAGTTGGTCTCTATTTTCGTTTGTTCTTGTACATCTGCTGAATGCTACTGCTTGACAGTCTTCCTACTCTGTTCTGTTTAATTGTTTTTCTGGCTTTGCATAGAGCATCAGCTATTGCTAGTTTAGTATCCAGAAGGGTTAAATCAAGTTTCTTCGTCTTTTTTTGTAATAACCAACAGTTCACGGCTGTCATGTCAATGAAATGAAAAAATATTCGTAAATAATATTTCTTCGACCTGATTTTTATACGATAAAATCCTAAAATGGAATCAAGGAGACCTACACCTCCTATGTAGTTGTTATAGATTAGGATACTGTTAGGACAAGGTATCATTTTATGTATACTTTCTTGTTTGAAAAATCTTCTTTTTCCTTCCTTTGAGTTACTTCCAGCATATGTTAACATTATAGTAACGATTGTATTATCAAACTATGACACTACACTGACATCCACATTATCTATATTGGCTATTTTCTTTCCCATATGACCTCTGTCGCGCTTCTTCATTTCTTTCTCAATTGGTATCACAACTCCAGGAACACGCTTAAGTCTTACTGTTTCCAAAGTTAAAATTCCCTCTTTGGTCAGATATATCATAAGAGGTATGCTGGTGAACTAATTGTAAAAAAACAACTTGTAATGTTGATGTTTTGGTATCGAATTTGCTAATTTGACAACCACGTTGCTGCTCATACTAAGATTTGGTGCTCCTATAGGTATAATATTACTCTGGGAACCAGCAAACAAATTAAAGTCATAGCTGAATCCCAAAATACCACTCAGCACAAAGTTTTTGAAGCCCGACTTATGTTTTTTTTTTGGGTCATACTGCTTTAGCTTGCTTCGCGCTTTTGTTGGTATAATCTGTTCGTCTACAGCTAGAAATTCTTCTCTCGGAACCATGAGTAGTCGTTCTTTGATGTGGCTCAGAATAGGTCTAGTTTTAAATAATCTTCATGTCCAGGCTGATCATTTTCAATCATGTCAACATTGTTATTGAAATTCAAGACACGTATTACAGCTCATCACATCGCTTACTGTTCGTTGGCCAATATTGGCATTCCAATAGTGTCTTGTTGATGGAAGTGGAATTATCGACATGTAAAAATAGTAATTCCTATAAATTGTTCTATTTCATATTTTTCTATATTACGTGGTTTATTTGGACGTTGTTGCACTGAGTATAAATTTGATTGGTCTGTGATATGCTCTATAAGATTATCAGGAAAGAGAAACTTAAAAAATTGGACCGGAGTTCCTAATTGTAAAATCGACGAAGGTAAATTTTCAGAACCAGTAAATTTTGTATCATTTTCCGATCTTCTCAGATTTCCTTTCACCCAATTATGAGATTTCCTTCTTCTATATCGTAGTCTTTCAGACAAAGGGGTATCCTCATCTGAGGAATCTGAGGATATGGCAGAAATGATATACAAACCATCGAAAATATCTACTTCCATAATTGAATACAGGCAAAGATTGAATATAGGCGCTTCTCTTTAATATAATAGTGGACGAAATAATACAAGTTTCCTTGACATTGCTTGGTCAATTTTCACGCTCCTCATTGTCACTCTCTTGACACAATATCATCTAATTTGTGCCGTCTTAATCGGAGAGATCTGATTCTTCACTATTAGTACTATTTGGAATTCTAACTGAAATTCATTGTACCATAAAAGAGTTTCGGATCCATATCTACAAAAACAATCAATTAGTCCATAACTTCATAGTGTGCCATATATAGCATAAACCTTTTTTGGGGTTTTCGAGAGACTTTCAACATTCTTAATTTTTAGTACTTACCTAAGCAGATATCTAATATCACAATACAATAAATTTCAATTTTTTATCGCCGTAAAAAACGTTTTTACTTTGAAAAATAACCTCTAACTTCGAGCACTGTTTTACGTGGATCAGAATTTCAACAAGAATGAACTTGAAACTGCGCACGGCTGCCTATCTCGCCGTCAGAGATATGCCGCATATTTCGCATACACTATTAGTACGTGTCAGATATGGGCTACCATGCAGCTACGACAAAAATTGAGTTAAAACATTAAATTTATTTTTTTTTTGTTATATTTTTTTGGTTTATTCAAATAAATTTCCAACTTTGTAAGTGTTTTGCGTAGACGCATTATTGGAGTTTATAACTCTCCATGCTCATTAGCCTGATGAGTCACACTAAAGATATTCTTAAAAATACTACATCAAAGATTATACAAAAAAAGTGAATGGGACATCAGTGATTCCCAGTTCGGATTTAGGCAAGGTTTAGGAACACGAGAAGCAATAGTAGCAACACAGGTGCTGGTCCAAAATTGTTACGATCAGAGGAAGGATGTGTTCCTATGCTTTTTAGATTACCAAAAAGCGTTTGATCGTGTCCAACACCACAAGTTAATGCAGATTCTTAAGAAAGTTGATATAGACCAAAAAGACATAAGATGCATTGAAAACTTGTACTGGCATCAAACGGCACAGTTAAAAATAGACAATTCTATATCCAAACCCATACATATAAGAAGAGGCGTTCGACAGGGATGTGTGCTTTCCCCTCTTTTATTTAACATTTATTCGGAAGCCATATTTCAAGAGTCTTTGGAGGATGCAGAGATGGGAATCAAGGTGAATGGAGTATTGATTAACAACATACGATATGCTGATGATGGTGTCTTAATTTGCGAGAACATAGTCGATCTTCAACAACTTGTCAATATAATCGGAGAATACAGTAAGCGAATGGGATTAGAGATTAATACCAAAGAGACCAAATTTATGATCATCTCCAAAAACTTAGATGCACTTGAAAACTCCACCATAAATAACACTGAATACTAAGTCCATTAAAAGAGTGAGTAAATTTAAATACCTGGGATCGTGGCTTTTTGAAGACTGGGCATCGGACAGGGAAGTAAAATGTCGCATTGAGCAAGCTCGACAAGCTTTCGTAAAATTCAAAAAAGTACTGACTTGTTCAGAGTTTGATCTTCAACTGAGACTAAGATTTACTAAGTGCTACGTATGGTCAGTGCAGCTATACGTATGGCGTAGAGGGCTGGACACTCAAAACGAGGGATATAAACAGATTAGAAGCTTTCGAAATGTGGCTTTATCGCCGTATCCTAAAAATACCATGAACAGATTAAAAGAATAAACCAAGAACGCCAACTTTCCGAAACCATCAAGAAAAGGAAAACGGCGTATCTAGCTCACATCATGCGAAATGAAAAATACCAGTTCCTCCAACTTATAATCGAGGGTAAAATTGAAGGCAAGAGAGAAATGGGATGCAAGAAAATGTTCTGGCTCCGAAACATAAGGCAATGGACAGGGATTAACGACATACAATCTCTGATACATATTGCAAAAAATAGAGAATTAATGGAAAATGTGATCGCTAACATCCATTAGTGGATTTGCATCTGAAGAAGAAGATGCTCAATACCAAATAAATTCTAATTAAAAATGCATCTAAAGAGCTTTAAATTAAGTGTTGTGGGAATAGTATAGACTGGCTTCAAACAACAACTGTCAAAATCATAAACGAAAGATTTGTCAAAATATGTCAATAACATTAAATTTTTTAGATGTTTTTTTAAATATTACTTTAATAGCTTGTCAGAAGATAATGAAAATTGACTAATTTTAATTTATGTCAAGCTGGTACTTCTCTTCATGATTTATCATAAAATATGATAGGAAATAATTTTCTTGCATGAATAGGTATATTTGAATTACTATTAATATTTTAAAGTCTTTTGAGTATTTTTTGTTTTGTTTTTCTACAGAAATTAATAATAAAAATTTGAAGTTATAGCAAGATGCTTTATAAAACGTAGAGAATAAACAACACCGATGATATTATTTGTAATATTGTGAATGTCATGATATATTCTTGTTGATTTATTTTCCACGGGACTAAAATTTATTTCTAGACGTCTTCTTGCAGGTATAGAACAGGGACCTAATGGTGGAGAAGACCTTATGACCTTGGAGGCAGAGATCTCCGAATTACAAAGAGAGAATGCCAGGGTCGAGTCTCAGATGATCAAACTGAAATCGGATATAAACGCAATGGAAAATCACTTGGGCCAAAACGAAAAAGTAAGTAGCAGTCAAGTGAAATTACATGCGGTCTTAAGCAAAATGTCATTTAAGTGTGCAAATATATTAACTTGCAAAAGTTTTTGAATAGAAATAAATAGTTTATTCAACATATAGCTCCTAAATTTTCATCTTCTTAGAGTGACCTCTTCGTTTCTGAAAGTCGGTGAAAGATTCTGACAAATCTTTCTCTATTCTGTTCGGCTCTCAATAAGGATTGAATATCGATCCACTCTGATGTTATTCAACCATGAACATCTGCCATCTGGACCTCAGGTTTATTCAATTTTCGCCTATATAAATAACCTTAAGAGTTCATAATGTTTTCCCCGTCACACGTCGTAGATAAAGGGTTTTGCGGCTTCTTGGTAGTGTTACAAAGTTCTCTGTCGTTGCCAATATTGTGCAATACTACCTCGTTAGTGACATCATATTTCCATGGTATTTTCATGAGTCTTCTAAACACTCACATTTTACTGATGTTGATTTTAAGAACAAAGGATTCTTCTGCTACTGCATCTAGAAGTCGTTCCGTGGTGTCCGCTAGGATGACAGTATTATCGACATATCTTATGTTGTTGATCAGCCTTCCGTTAGGGTTCCGGCTTTTTGGATGTTTTCATATAATGTAACATTACATGTTATTTAGACCCTTTCATAGAGATAATGAATCCGTCCTTCAAATATTTTAGCTATACTATTTAACGTATTTGACGTGAGAATTTTCCGTATAGTACAAGATGCCAATGCAGGATCACTACGTTCTTAACGTAGTTAATCAAACCCACATTTTTACATACATTTAAAAGTAGAACACATTGATAAAAGGTTGCTAATCAAAAAGTGGCCGCATATTTTTTTAATGTAATTAATTTTTGAACAGATGTTTTATTTCGTTTCATTTAATATTTAAATAGAATAGGCTGCTCATCAAATTAAAGTGTAATATGATTATATAAGATTGCCTGAGAAAAAATGGTGTCGAGGTATCAAAGATAAAGTAAATTAGAGTTAGCACTTAACTACACTAGGATGACAAGTGATAATATGTATATTATTATTAATCTATACTTCATCTAATTTATATACCGATGCACGTCATTATTTACGTCAGAGATAGAAGTTGACATAGTTGCCAAAGTATAAAAAAATCCTGACTCCATTTTAAATCAAATAAGTCACATAATTATTGCAAAATTATTACCATCTCTTTTACAACGACTATTTAAATTCTTACGTGACATTTCTGAAATAAAACACACTAATTTTGTTCTAAAAAGAACCGATTTTATTAAAAAGGTAAAAATATAAAACAAGAGGTATTCACTTTAAAATTCAAAATAATATCACAAGTACAATAAGTGTCAAAACCGCACTGTACAGTTACAGTGTGTTCCGAACAAATTTTCTTCATAAAAACGCTTTATAATGCATTTATACAAATTAAATGAAACATAATATTGTGTATTTCTTTAAGTTAACATTAATAGAAATTTTTAAATATTATTTCTACGCGTATATAATAAAATATGTCTAGTGGCTCTAATGAAAGTGTACTCGGCAAAGTGATTCTAAAAAAGAACACACCTAAACATTTCGTGTTGGCATCATGTGACGTCACGAGCTATGACGCCCATGACGTGCATCGGTATGTTAATTAGATAAAGTGTATATCTATCGACGCATGTTTTAAAAACTCATACAACTGACATTTCGAACCAGTAGCGTTCTATACTCTTACTTTATCTTTGATACCTTGCGTTTTTAACAGCTGGCAACCCTAATTTTCGACCATTTTTTTCAGGCATCCTTATATCATTATGTTAAGAAAAAAATAAGCTTTAATTTAATAAAAAAACATGCATATACGTCATGAGTAGCTTATTTTATATAAAAAATAAAAGTATGAAATATTTTTTTTTCAAAAATTAATTACAATTAATTTACTTAAAAATATTTGTGGCCACTTTTTGACTGACAACCTACTGTCAATGTATTCTCCTAATTTTTAATGTACCTATGTATAAGTGTGAGTTTGATTAACTACGTTATGAATTATTAACTACGTTTTGAACATAGTGATCCTGTAGTGGGATTTTTTATGATTAAAAAATCACAGATTTTTAATTACTTTAAATGGTACTTTAGTTTAATGAATTTTGTTAAAACTACATATGGCAATAGAGAAACTATAAATTTTTTACAGCCTTGAAATTATGCAGTAATTGCACTTCTTAACAAAAGTAAATAAAAAGCTTAAATAAAAGTAAAATAACATTGAGGCTGCAAATTAAGAAAAAAATCTACAATAGAAGACTTTTTCGTAAGACCGCATTATAATTATATTCTTACGTTGCTTTCCGTATCACACGTCACCACATTAACAAGTCATAAGTGATGTGAATTTCATATTATAATTTATTATTATTATATATTAGTCTTATCAGATTAATCAGAAACAATATCGAACGTTTTATTAAAAATCTGTACACATTTGGATTTTTGTTTGCATAATTTAGTTTTTTCTATATATCTGTAGAGATAAAATAACGGATAACAAAGGTCAGATAGCTTTGAGTAAGACGAACTTAATTTTTATAAGTCTTGAGCTGCTAACTAACAACAAAAGGTCAACTATTTGAATGCTACATAGATAATTTCGGTTTTCTTATGTAACAGAAGCTTTGACCCTTTTGGAAACTGGATCTGTGATGAAGGGACTGAAGACTCTTGAAATTAACGAACGTCGTAATAAAAAAATGAAAATTAGAGTACTTTGTACATGAAAGATATGGTTTACTTCAGTTGCTAGAGGTGAAAGTGTTTGATGGTAATAGAGGCCTGAAGAAACGATGTATTTGCTATGTTTTGCTATGCTATATATTGCGTGTCCAATTATTGGGTACGTTATTGTGGTATAAAAAGTTCTGATTAATAGTATACCATTAGTATGCATTATATTATTGCATCTTATTGTGCAAGGCAGATTTGGTTGGTCAACTACAACAATCATTTGTTTAAAATTGTCAAATGTCACTCCCATGCGCAAACCGTAAAAAAATGGGAAGAAGGACAAGGATGATGTAGACTTGTCAGGGTAACACTAAGTAACCTTGAAGAGTCAGCATCTAAGAAGTAGTTGGGAATGACCAGAAAAACCCTACGTTTGACAGTTGGGTTTTAACTGGTCATTCTCAACTAAGCAAACACCTCTACATACGGGGGTTAGCAGACACACCTCTATGTAGGAAGTGTAATCGAGAAGACGAATCTATAGAGCGTGTCCTATGTGAATGCCCGGAGTTATCGTTAATACGAGAGTACGCATTCGGTAAGTCCCGGCGCACATCTGCCCACATAAGGGAAATATCTGCTGGTGACTTGTCCATCTTCCTAGAAATGGCAAGATGGACAATGAGCTAAGGGTGACAGCTTCCTGGGAGAATGCACAATGGGTCAATTGTGGTGTATGTGCGGGGAACCTAACTCGCGCTCCCTACTCTACAGATACAAATACAGATGCAAGGCAAAATTGGAGGAAAGCGAAATGTAGAAAGACGAAGAATATCGTGGCTTAAGAACTTGATGGAATGGTTTGAATGCAGTAGTGCAGAACTATTTAGAGCGTCAGTCAACAGAGTCCGCATAGTGATGATGATTTCCATCTTCGATAGAAGTTGGAACTTATAGAAGAAGATAAGTACATTATATGCAAATTTAATCATTGTATGTATACTTAGTGGTAGGAATACCAGCACTAGCGAATCTTACCGAACGAATATCAGCTAACGTTTCAATCAAACCTTTTTTTAATAATGTAGATTTTAGTCAACCAGGAACATAACTTAATTTTATTATATGAAATTTCACATCACTTATATTGTTTTATCTTCAGTCATATAATATTATACTAATTCTGAAATTAAAATGTTGCTCGGTTTTTTTCAGTTTTTATTTTATTTGATGTTATTTTTCATTACATTTTGTAAAATTCTTTACTGGTGGTTCTAGAGATATATAAAATTAATTTTTAGAAAATTTCTTTTATAAAAATATTCCGTAAGATGCCTATGGAATACATAATTGTATCGTTTCTTCCAGAAAGTCAACTATGAACTAGTTGTCATAATGGATTTTTTTCTCTATATTGAACACCCCCTGATTTATTATATCTATCTATATACTAGTTTTACAGTTGTGTCACAAAATATTCTATAAGTAATTCATTATTTCACTCGTCACATTTCATTCTATCTATCCTACATGATTTTTTACTTTTTTTTTAATTTGATAGATGATTCTAGATAATACGTATTAGACCTACCTATAAAATTTTAATGTTTTTTACTCAAGATGATATGCATTGTTGAATCAATTCTTTATTTCCGGTCAGTTTGTTTTACTAACGGAACATACATAAAATACCGTTGAATATACATAATATTTTTTAACAATTAAAAAGTGTATGCGAATATTTATCTATTAATGTGAATTAACGTATACTTTAATTAGTTTCATTATTGTATTCTTCAAGTACCTAAGTATATAATAGGTATCTTTAACATATTGCATACCAATAAAATATTTTCTTTTTTAAATTAATGGCGAATTAGTATCATTTTATATGACTGTAATAATGAAAAAAGGAACCTAACGCATAGTTTCGTATCCTCACCACAGCAACGCTATCGTAAAAAAGCAATAGGACCACACTAACCTACCTTCCCTTCTCTCCCTTCTTCACCAGGAAACCCAGGCGCTATCGCAACGTTCCAACAACCTCAACGAGTACTACGAGAGTCTGCGTAACAATGTCATTACACTTCTGGAGCATGTTCGACTGCCCGGTGCCAGTTCTGGAGGTCCAGGTGGTCCAACTGCTGAAAAAATCGGCCAAGAAAACTTCGATTCCTATTTAAGCAAGCTGCAGACATTGTGTACGCCTGACGGATACTGTAGTGACGAGAACAGACCTTTGTATGAGACTGTGAAAAGCGCTTTGCAAGATTTTACTGTACTGCCAACTCCGATTTAAAAGTGAGATCATCTTGAGACTATGGACTCTGCGTTTTGTGAGTAAGGCAGTTTTTGGATGGTAATATGAATTATATAACTGGCCTACAGAAAGTTGTTAATGGTTTTCTTATTCCAATTTAAAAAAAACGACTATAAATATTCCACTATTATTAATAAAGTCTTAAACAAGACTTTCCAAGTTTTTTAATTTTTAAAACGATGTTCATGTATTAAACTTTTACAACTAAATGAAAACCACTTCCAAACTTTTTGTACGCCTCCTGTATTAACAGTTTTCATATTCGCTTTTACTTAAACTGCTTTTGTCTCTTTGCAAAATAGCCCCATCTATACGTCAAATGCTGTACTAACAGAAATACCTATTATGTATTTTGGCAATTACTACTTTTGTGTTAACAGAAATCTATATAATAGTTGGATGAGAAAAAAATCAATATCTTTTCTGGTAAATAAAAATAGCCAACAGGGTAAAAGTGGTGGCTACTAGTGACATCTTTTAAACAGAAGCATAAACTTTAATTATGAAGCTTTCATTTTAAAAGGAAACTACAGTACGAGTTCCAAAAATTTAAGGTATTCTTTATTTGAATGATTCTATTTATTATAGTTATTTTTAAATCCAACTGAAATAACTAGAATACTATGTATTTTCGAACTTCTATTACGGAAGTAATTTTAATAAGAAGTATATTTAGTGGATAAAATATTTCATACTGGTGTAGAAGATATTATTACTTTTTAAGTACATTATTATAGTATCTTTTACAATATTAATTTTAATCGCTTCAAACTTTTACAGTAGATGGAGCCACTATAATAACAAATTGGTACCTACATTTTTAATATTTTAACTACTTCATTAGTCCAATATTCAAAAGTTATTATGCATATATAAATGCATTTCAGTAATACTATTAACTGTGATAAAAAGTACCCATTTCAAACTACAATATACTTATTGATCAATTATTCATATAGACCTAGCCCCACAAATTTTCCGACGGGAACATTATCTAGTTGTGGTAAGACTGTTGCCAGTCATATACAGGACCAATTGTACATACAATAGTGGACCTGTGACAGGAAAAATATAATACTTAGGAATTATATTTAAATAAATTAGTGACCACAGATTAAATATAAAATTACGTCATAGAATTATCAAATGCTATATTTGGTCAGTGTTGTCACATGGCACCAAGACCTGGACTCTAAAGGCTAATACGATCAATCGCCTGGAGGCGTTTGAGATTTGGTTGCATAGAAGAATGTTCCAAATACCTTGGACACCCATGCAGTCTAACGAAGCTGTGTCAAATAGAGCAAATGGAATAACCACAAGGGCTCAGTTAATGGAGGAGGAAGATATATTTTTGTTCATGTTCTACACATTTTATATAATTGTACCCTATCTCACATTTAACTAATTACATACTTAACATAGTTTAAATTAATTCTTAATTAAATTTTGTGTTTGTGCAACTTTTAGTCCTTTTCTAAAAGCCTTTTCTCGCATGTTTCGAAGAATTTTAATATCTTTAGCAGATATACCATTTTCTTCAGCCCATATTATGCAGGTATTGAAACAATTAAATGCTGTATCTGGTTTTACTTTTAAAGTTGTAGTTGATGGCTCCAATATATATTTCAATTAAGCTTTCTTCTTCTCGTAGTGCTTTACGTATTTCATTATATATCATAGTTTGCTGTTTCTTTAGTCCGTTCAAACCGTTTAAAGTTTGAAACTAATCGACAATGTGTAGATTAGCTTCAAGATCACAATTTTCTGTCTCTTGTGGTATATAATTCATTGTAGGCCATAGCTTTTGTCATGATGATTGAATTAGGTTAGGTGAAACAGAGCTCCATTCTTGAATGAGAGAGAATACAACATCCTACCCTGATCTATTGGGTGTCTCTGCCTGAAAAGGAATACTTCCGCTACGTATCGAGGGACGTTCGCTGCTTCTCGTAGTGCTCCGTTGTGTACAGCTTAGTTCTTCTTTCTGTTGGTCTTGCAGGTCTGTTTTATGCGAGAGATGTGTATGCCAGGAAAGGTATGTACGTAGCATGAAGCCATGTGTCTGTTCTGAATGTTAATTTGCTTCTTCTCTTAGGCTTCTGATATTGTTTTGTATCAAACCGGGATCCATTGTAACTTCGAGGTAGTTTGCTTTACTTGACCATCCATGAGAGTGTCGAACATATCTAGTTGTTCGGCTGGTACGCCACATCTCTTTTTAAATATTACTGATTTTATCTTCTCTAGATTTACTTCAATTTTTCACTGTATTCATCATTCTTTTAGGGTGCTATAGTGCTGTTTGCAGGTTCCTAGTTGTAATGTCTTGGTTTCTGTGTTTCGCCATTATTGAGGTGTAGTATGCATTAGAGCTTATCATGGTTTCTGGCATTCTGAGGACATTGACTGTATATATGTTATACAGCGGCGGAGACAGAATATCTCACTGTGACTGTGGTACTGCTGCAGTGGAATTCCGACTTCGGATAGGACTTGTCCGATGTCAATCCTGAATTTTCATTTGGCGAGGTACGATGAGAGTAACTCTATTATGGCATTGCTCGAAGGCTTTGCTTTCGTCTAGAACTATGTACTGTCTATCGTTGAAGCCTGTTGCGATGTATTCTGTGAGCCTGAGTATCTTGTGTTCGGTTGACTATTTAGCTCTAAATCTCAATCTAAATTGGCTGGTAACACTTGTCTTTTTATTTCCTATTCGAGCCTTGAAATTCTTTCAGCAATCTTGCTGACTGCTTGTAGTAAGCTTATTGGTCTGTAGTTTTGTGGAAAATGCTGTTTATGTCCTGTGATTATATGGGCTTCTTTCCGTCGATAAAGGAATCCTGAATCTCATTTGATATGTTGGTCACATAAACGACTGCTTTCGCTGGTAGGTGGTTAAATTTTGACGCTACGGATCAGTGTTACACTTAGGAAGGAGAAAGGGACGCTTGCCGGGATATTGGACTGAAGGTTTATTGTTGTGCAGAATTAGTAAGATTCTATTTATTTCAGTTTTAATTAGCAATATTATATTTTGTTGGTACTAATGGATATGAAAACAAGATCCTTAAAGAAATAGACTTAAATTTTTATGCATTGTTTGGACTAAGAAAATGAGTAAATCATTTAAAAATATGAAAAAGTTTTGATATTTCTTACTATAACTCTATACCTGTCATTCGGCGAAAACATATATATAGATTTCTGTTAGTAATTGCCCCTAAATTAATGTATTTCAGTTGTATCCCCACATGTACGTAAATTTAAATTGTGATTTCTGTAAATAGCTAAATATACATAGCGACAAGAAACTAACTGTAGATATATGCCATACGCGTGTCGCTGTTGGAAAAGTCATTGTATCATATACCTTAACTAATTGTACATAGCTCGATATTTATGTTTGTACCTATATGTAAAAAGTTCGTTAAGCATATTTTTAGTTAGAGATTTGTTTGGTAGGTGGAAATTTGACGACGGGGTAACAAGTATTGTCTCTTAACAAAATAATTTATACTTAATTTATAGACTATTCGCTATCGATAAATGTATGAAAATTTATTGGATAGCTGACAATAACTAGTTTCTTTAAGCCAGTCGAATATTATGTTCTATACGAAAACTACTGATACTTAAAATATCCGCTAAAATACATAAACTTATGAAACTTATTATTAAATTCTAACATAATGGTCAATAGAAAATTGAATAACAATGAAATTAATTAAAAATCATTCTCTTTATTAGCCTTGATATTTAATAGCCCAGTTCCATAGCTGACAAATATAGTATAAATCTGGTCAGCAATATCAAAGCAAACAAAGTCGGCCTGCAGCAGGCAATTCGTATATTCAGGAAAATGATAAATCCGTTAAAAGCGATCACAGTAAAAAGGCTTTTGATCATTTAAGTACTGTGTATAATTCTTTACTTTTTTATTGTCGTAGAATTTCCCTTTTGCACTTTGTCGGTAATTTTAAAGTAATATTTTTATTTATGTTGGTTGCATAGTTCCTATTAGGTATAGTGTATTTGTAAGATGAAAGAAAACATTTTCGATGCGAAATGAAATAGGCACAAGACTAATCCATAATAAACTATAGTATCAGCACGTCATAGGTTATTATTTATTTCTTTTGATGAGAATTTGTGCTGAGAAAATTGCGAAAACTTCAAATATAATCCAATATTTGACAAAATAAACAGTAGGTACCGAAAGAGGCCATTGGAAATGTGAATCATTGCAAACAAGCTTGTTAACGATTTTGCAGATTATCCAACATATTAATAAAGAGTAGTTGCTGCAGTTGTTGAAAACAGGCTATTATCTTTTGTCAGATCTCTAATATCCGCTGGCGAAATTTTTGACGTAAATACTGATTCCTTCAGCATACACCAAATGTATGTATTAGGTATTGTCAGATCAGGTAAGTGAGTTTGGTACGCTAAGTCTGTTTCACGTGAAATTATTCTGTGTTCAAAATGTTCTTGACGTAAGGCTAGGGAGCATTTAGCTTTGTAGCTCGTTGTGCCATCCTGTTAAAACCATTACCTCTTGCATCTGCGGATTTCCTGAGTGACAAAAGGTATAATAATGTAACGCTCTTAGTTAACAGTAACTAAATGCTCAGACATGCCCTGATACAGCCCACCAAATGGAAACTCATTCATTGTGGAATGATCTCTCCACTATCACATCTAGGTGTTCAAATCCAAAAAGTCGAGTTATTTGTCTATTGATTTAACGGTTAAGGTGAATGTGACTTTCGTTCGAAAACCGACGAGCTTTAAACAGTCGACGTGTGGATGTTTTACTGATATTATAAGCAGTACGACGAAGGCTTTATTTTCGAGACTGTAAGATCTTATTAAGAATGCATCCTTAATTATTGTTGGTAAGAACTGCTTTTAGACGACTGAAGGTCCTTGCGCTGACCCAACACACTGCCAGTGATACAAAATTTCCCAACGTT